AGAGAAACCCACTTCAGTATAGGAACTTCTCTTAAAGTATGTGCCCTTTTTTTGGGATGGACTAGCTGCTCACTCAGTGGACTAGTCCTAACTCAAATAATGCCATGTGTCTTGGTGCTTCCACATCCTGTTTGAAGACAGTTTGCACCAGGTTGTCAGTAGGCTGGAGTTGGGATCTCACTTTGATTTGCTTTTCAGTCGGTGCTTAGCAGTGTCTTGATTTGAGACACACTTGAAATTTATGTGGGTCTCCCGACATCTGTTCTACTTGAGTTAGTCAGTTTAAAAACAGGATTTGAAGGGAACTCCCCCATTCTTAAAATCCAGTTGCTCAGTTGAATGACAATCTTTCATCTTATCCTTTTAAAACTGCACCATAGGTCAACTTTTTCCTCTGTTAGTCTCTTTGTAAATTTGTCTGCAACCTGTCTCTTCACAGCTAGAAATAGTCCTCCAGTTTCCAAGCTGGAGATACTCATCACAGTTTTCCCACATTTGTATCTCTGCCAGGCCTGGGATTTTAGTCCCCTTAGCTGGCATATGAAATCTTGCTTTCTAGTCCTCGTCAGAAAACAAAATATCCTTTTTACTGGATCGGATCCATAAAGTGATTAATGAAGAAAGTAAGTGCCCATTTGATGCTCTAGCCTGCAGGTAAAATGAGAGCTCAGAAATACACATTCATTGGTCTTCCTGTTCAAGCTGTGATCTTGGCCTGTATCCTTTCGTAGGCTGAATGTTGAGGATTGCAGTTCCGCTGTCGGTGTGAATGGTTTCCCAAATGCATACTACCTATTAGTATTCTGTGAGAGCAACGGGATGTATAAGAAGCTTGTCATCAGTTGCCCTGACTGTGTAGCAGTCTTCTGTCTTCATTCTACACTACATACTACTACATGAAGAAAGGCCAGAAAACATGGAAATTGCTCATTAAAGTTATACAGGTTTTATGAATGTCCCGCAGAAGTCACTGGAAAGACTCCAGTCAGTTTTGGATGAGGCTTATGCCTCAGAGGATCATCTGTGTAATCCACTTTTATCCTCATCACTTAGCAACTGTGTTCTTCAATTCTCTCTTTAATAGGAAAGACTGATTTTTTTCCTTAAAATGCTGTAATATGCTGTCACCTGTTCATTCAATGTCTTTAACAAGAACCATCTTTGCAACTGTACTCTGCCTGCAGAAGTCTTGTCTTGAGGAAGGTGTCATGGCAGCTGGTGAAAAAATTGCAATTATCCCCATTGCATTTTTAGGTTTGGAAAGTTCCTCTTCTAAGAACAAGAACGACTCTCTTGGAAAGATTTCACTGCTTATTAGAGGAGCTGTTAATCAGTCTGTGGATGATGGACTCGATGGAATTCTCAAACACCACATGATAGCTGGAGTTTCCAGCAGCTGGATGGAACTGAGCGTCTCCTTTATTTTCCCTAGGGATTAGACTCTTCCTATCCCATTTCCTAGCCAATGAGCTTTTACTTTTCAGTTAAACTGGGTTCAATTATAAAATCAAGTGTCTGCCAGCAGTCTTGCATGTACCCAGGAGATTTCCAGAACTGCTGCCAATTAAAGCAAAATGCTCCTGATCAGATGCAGGTTTAGGGGGAGCTGTTTACTTTTCTGATTTAGACCGTCTGGAATAATTTGTTTGAGAATAACATCCAGGGCAAATTTAACAGTTTTTGTAATGGGAACCTATCCCACTTCAGTGGAAAAACATTTCTTCAAAGTACCTGTTGTGTATTTCTTTTTCAAATGTCCATGCTGTTGTCTCTAGGAAAGTAGGCAACATTGGGCAGTATAAGGGCGTGAGCAGCTATTGTTCGTGTATATTAACTACATCATCTTATGGAGGTGTTTCCCTCCAAAATGAATCAGTTGAACTGATTTAAGTTCCTATGGCATCAGTTGGTTTATTTAACATTTTTTCCCAAACATTCTGGCTAGTTTCTGGCTCTGACTAAATTCGTTATTGCCCCTATCATGGAAATCTCAATTCTTGAATAGAGTAACAAAAATACCTTGTTAAAAGACTGCCCCCAAAAGGTAAACACACCTCTTTTCTATCCCCCAAATGTACCTTTAGTCCCTTGTACACAGACTATTGCAACACTGTCTTTTTGTGTTCCCACCTGCTTGTTCTTGTGGCAGGTGGGATCACACCTGCACTGCTTCAGCGTAGTCAGTGGAGAGGCTGCAGAGCCTGAGGTCTCACCTGGTTAGGCATGGGAGGAGAAGCACAGGCCCTGACCCTGTGTGCCAGCATGGGCCGTGGGTTCAGTCAGCACTCTTTGCTGCTCCTGTGGCAGTACAAGACTTCTGTGCAGATCCCAGATGGCACAAAGTACTAGTTAGTGTGGGTGACTAGAGTGTTGTGGAGTTTATTGTGGGTTCACAGCAATCCATGAGTTCAGGACAAGCTATCCGGCCTTATTATTTGGGCCTATGCATGTGCATCAGGGATACTGTGGTATGGTGCTACTGCAAACAGCTGAAAGCATATTGACTACACAGGATCTTTACTGGCTCGTTACTTTAAGGTAGTCTGAAAGTTTGTTGTGCATTGCAAACCTGTGTTTTCATCTTGGCGTTCACCTTCTCCAGCACCATTAAGTCAGTCTGAGCATAGCTTGTTCTGCTGATAGGTAAATTCTGCAAAGAGCTTTGACACAAAAATCCTATCCAAATGTTGCAATCCTCCCTTGTGCTGCATGTTGTCACAGCCTCCCACTGCCAGTGAAGCAAATTAGATGCTTGAGTACAGACTCAGATAATGCTTGAACTTTCCTCCAAGCTCCGGTGTTATCTATGTGTAAGATCTTTAAATGTCTTTCTACTTCGTGTAGAGTTACTTGAATAGCTTTAAATGTCTAAAATTCCAAAGAAAATTTGTCATTGGCATTTTAAATATCTAAACCTGTAAAAAGCTCTAGAGAAGGTTAATCATATTTGTTTATATAATTTCTGTTGACTTTGTTTTCTGCAATTTGTCATTAATTTGATTGAAAGTGGACGTAGAAATAGAGCAACAATAACGAACAAAAGCCTGTGGTATCTCATATGCAGACAAACCCCAGCAGGTAATAGAAACTTTTAAAAGGTTGGGAGCAATTTTCTATTCTACTTCCCACCTGACTAATGTTCAGATGGGTTGGTATAAGCTTTGGATTGTATCTCAAAACTCATTCTAACTTGATACACCCATGGATACCTTTTGCCTTTGATAACTCTGATGTGTAGCACCTAACAGGGCAGGGAATATGTAAATAGCTTGATAGACACATATCTATATCAAGAGTTGTTTAATCCCATGATAACTTGGTCTCTTTATGGCACTTTATTTTCCATTTTGAAATAAATACTAGAAAGAGAAGTGAAAGTGATAGGGAACAGTTCAGTCAGCTGGCTGAGATTTCAGAGAGGAATTCCGCAAGCACTGTGCAATGTCCTACACATCCATCAAGTGCTGTTCATTGTAGTTGTCCTGTTAGAGTGAGGTACCAGCTCTGATGAGAAGCAGTACCAGGCTTTTACTCCAGTGTTTTTATTAGATTCTAGTCAGTGCATTGCAAAGCAGCCTAGTTCAAAGCAAGCTGGCTGCAACAGTCTCCGTGAGTGGATTGGAAAGATGTAGCTCTGTAAGTGTGTCTCAGCTTTATGTGTTGTTAAGGTTTTATTACGTGGCTTGTATGACCTGGTTGGGTAACCTACAATGGATGAACGAAATGGTGGAGTCATTTTGTCTGCAAACTACAGTGATACATGCTGGTAAAGATTCTGCTGACTGCTTTGAGTGTATTTGCTGCCCTTCTGGGCAAGTAGCACCATTGATTTCAAGGCTGGATGCCTGAAGTAATCAACTAAGTTTGGCATTGAAACGGTGTTGGATTTCACCATGCTTGCTGTGTTTGTAATGTTTTAATAATTCCTCAAAATGCCCTGTGGAAATGACAAGACCTAGAATTATCTAGGAAATCTCGCTATTGTTTCACCCTACTGTAAGTTTTGTATTCAGCTGATTACTTCTTTGAGTTTCTTGTGAATTTTGAAATAATTTCAGAATAATTATTTTTAATTACTTGTATTATTATTATTATTAAGTGGACTTTCATTATTTGGAGTAGCACAGGGCTGTGTCACTCCAAGTTAACAAAAAAAAAAAAAACCAAACAAAAAACCCACACCACCATAACCAGTACTGCTACTGCAAGTCATATATTGAATATTTGAAATAAACCTAGGAAATTTGCCTCATATTTTTCCTCATGCAGTAGATTTAAATAGATGAGGAACTTTTTACTTCAAGTTTATGTAGCATTGGTGTAAATGGCCAAAAAAAAGAACTGTCATTAATGACTGCATTTGGCTTAGAATAAATCTAGTCTGTTTTGGTGGATTCCTGTGCATTGGAGGATGCTTTGTTTCTTACAGCTTGCCTATTTCAAAGCCCTGTAGTCCCATCAGTGCAAAGCCAAAGCTGAACATTTGTATCACATCCCACAGCAGATGAAGGTTCAAGTGGACTTGCTAGTGCTTCAATGTCAATTCCTGATGTCAACATATATCCAAATGAGTTTGTTTTTATTGTCATAAAGCCAAACTGGAGCTTGAAATGGGAGGTGCTGGGAAGTAGAAAGCAGATGTGGCCATGTGGAGGTGCTCTGTCTCAGCTAATAAATGAGTTCATCTGCACCCAGGCATGGTCTCAATATGAGGCATTTGGACATGTTTAGATCCTTCTGAGAACTGGGGTTTTGATTTTTCATGCACGTGCACACAGAGACATATCCTGTCATGTGAGGTTAAAGTAAAATTTTGAAGTCAGATGTGTTTTTCCAGAATGGACAGATACATTTCCTAGTGAGTTCCAAAGATTTGTGTCTGAATAATAACACCTGTTTCAGGCTTGAGGGCCATTAGAAATCCAACGAACTTACTTAACCATGTTTTAGACTGAAAAAATAATTGTGGTGTTGGTTTTTATTATTTTTATTATTTGCAGGGGAACGTTACCTTCTCCTGCTCAGAACCACAAATCGTTCCTATCACCTTTGTCAGCACCAGTCGAAGCTACTTGCTACTACCCGGCACTCCTCAAATTGATGGTTTGTCAGTCAGCTTCCAGTTTCGAACATGGAATAAAGAGGGCTTACTTCTCTTCACTGAACTGTCTGAAAATTCGGGACCTCTCTTGGTTTACCTTCACAGTGGGAGATTGACGCTGCTTATTCAGAAAGAAACTGAGAACCCAGTGGAAATCAGTGAAGGTACTATAGTTTCGTTTACTCTCATCTGTCCCGCTTTAAAATACAAATGTCCAACCCCCCAGGATGAAAGGATGATGAAATAAGGAAGCACACAATCTTCCTTTTCCTTTTCAAATTTTCTCTTGCTTTCCAGTGGTAGAACCACTCTGTGCAGTTTGAGGTAGATCGAAGCATGAAAAGTTGGCATCCCGAGATCTCCAGACTCAATCTACCAGAGAATTGCCTCAGCCTCTGTGTTCTTGCACAGTCACACTAAATTTTCTTCAGTCAGGTCACACAAAGACCTTCCTGTTTCTGTCCTCAGATTGTTCTGGTCAGCTGGGAGCCAGCTCAGCCACTCTGCACCATTCCGCAGCACCAGTTAAGGCAGCCGCAGAGCTGATATTCTTCCTCTGACTGTAGCTTTACACTGTGCCTTTGTGCTACACTCAGAAGAGAGACTGACCATGGGCTTCCTCTCCTCACACTCCCTCATTGGCCTCCTTAGCTGGTTGCAAGCTGCTTTCTACAGGTGGTGGGATGCAAGAAGGTGAAATGAAGTTGACTCTCTGACCTACAATTCATGGAAAATTGCTTAGAAACACTTACCAGAACAGCTATTCATTGGCTCCCAGGGACAAGAGGGAAACAACTTCAGACTGTAAAACGGGACCAGAGTGGCCCAGCTGCTCTCCCGCTGTGACCTATATAAGCTGTGCTGGCATCCCAGACAGAAATGGTCTTCGTCCACAGTGTCTGCAGATCCCTTGCTGCTAGGCAAGCATGCTGGGTGGGAGACTGGGTCGTTCATTATCTGCGTAGGTTGAATACCCAGTTTCCAAAGGTGGATGAGTAATAGACTGATGGAACTCAGATGGAACTAAATAATAATAATAGTATTTCCTAAAAGGGCAGCTGTTTAGAAAAATGTAGTATTAAAATATTCCCAGTACAGACTAAAAAGAGGGCAGATGTGTCTATTTAAAGAAGCAAAGATAAAATCTGACAGAGTTGTCAAAGCAGAGCTGTTCCGTATGTGTGTTTCATTCCCCTTTATGATAGGAAATGAGGCAGCCCTGCATCTATCCTTATTCATGTAGATTGCTACAGCCTTGGCTTGCTGCAATTGAATGCTGAAAACTGAGCTTCCAGCCTTTATTGCAGTACTAATTAAATTGTTGACAAAGCTGAGACAATGTCAATATTTGGTAGGGTGTATTTGTTTTTATGTAGTTCTGAAATCATGAACCTGAGCCCAGCCTTTGGTGCTATCCAAAACACTCTAAACTGCCTACTTACACATGGAAAATATGCAGAAATTGCAAGTGGCGAGCTCTGCAGATGTCAGGTACTCACAATAAACTCACGCTTGCTCAAGAATGGACCTGTTTTTGCCCCTAATGGGTCCTATTTTGTCTTCACATCTTTTCAAACTTCAGCAACATATTTCGCTTTAAAATGGACTTGTTCTAGTTGAGAAATCATACGTTTTTTCTGGAAAACTGTCCTCTTATTCTGTGGAAATTATGCATGCATTAACAGCCATTACTGTGGAAATTGTCTCGTTTTCAGATTCGTAATGAAATGGATTTTCATACACGTCACACCCACAATTTTTTTGTTTTGTTTTGAATTGTTCTCACACCTCTTTGTTCCACTAAGTGCTTGTTTGTTTCTTCTGAAAGCTACATTAATAAAAATACTCCATTAGGGAGAGGCATAAAATAAATACTAATTGTCTGTGCCTGGTCTCAGTGACTCCAGGCTGATGGTAGTGTATTTTGAACTGTAATTAGGTTACTTTTGGTCTACACCTCTGTGTGTGATCTCAGAAGCTTGCCCACTGATTTTCATGGCTGTCAGAACAGGGGATGTAGAGTACTTTGTAGCTGTGTGGTTCTGTTTCAAGAACAGTGAGACACAACACTGATTTTCAGCATAAGGAAACTTAGGTTATTTTCCACTTTGCACAAGTGTCTGGTAGAGAAAGAGGCTACCTGGTACCATAATCTCTCGCGTACCTTCATAGGCTCCTAGTCAGAGCAACAGTCTCAGCTCTCACAAGACCCATGTCGAAATCCAGTACAGAAAGGCTCCTGTATCTCCATCAGCAAGACTGTGTGCTAACCTAGCGCTGAAGGGTTTTAAGATACACAGATCCTGCTGACGCTAGTCATAGTCATACATAGATACTTGTCAGGTTGCATACTGGAGCCTCAGACAGGGTATGGCCATCTCACTGAATCTAATCCCGTGCCATGTCAGGTATGTGTTGGGTAGTAGAAGCTCAGCAGAGATCATCTCTGCCCGATCCTGTGAGCTATAAGTATTTTCCAGGACTGAAAGTAAGATATGAACACCCAGACATAATCACACTTTTTCTACCTGAAAAATAAAGTGCCCTTGCTGAGTGCCTGCAGTGCCGGAAACAGGTTGGATTAAAATGTGAGATGACCTGCTTAAATACTCCTTAAAAAATTAAAGAAGGTTTCTCATTCTTGGGCCAGTTTGGTTTTAGAGGTAATGAATTCTTTTCAGCTGCCAGTTCTCCCTGTATTGGGGTCCCAGGTTGGAAGCAAAAAGAGGATTGAAGAACAGTGTTCTCCTACACCTCTTTATTCACTCTTTGGACTTGTATTTTGCCAGGCACCAATCTCCATGATGGGCTTTGGCATTCCGTTAACATCAATGCCAGGAGACATCGCATTACCCTGACACTGGATAACAATGCTGCCACCGCTAGCCACGCAACCACTGTCTCAAGGATCTACTCTGGGAACAGCTACTATTTTGGAGGTAGGTTGTTTTGGACAGGTGCACTGCAGGATTTCACCATGTAGGTCCTCGGGTGCTCACCATTGATATATCCCCAGGTGCACTGTGTTTGCAGCTAAGAGCAAATGTTGTAATAACAGATTTTAGACCCCCCTATTGAGTTGCAGTGCTTACAGGACTCTGGGAAGATTGAAGAGTCTTAGTCAATCCTGACGGAGAGAGAATGAGCAGAACTAACACAGCTGTAAAAGTGGACTACTGGTAGTGGTAGCCAATGGGTACCTACATCTAGCTGGCAAAACATGGCAAAAGCTACATAGCTGTATTAGCCACAAGTGTTTTTTCTAGTTAAAATGCCTGAGGACTATTAGTATTATTAATATTCCTGTAGGTATCACTGTCCTGATCAGGCTCAGTGACTTTAGACTTCAGAGCTTAATTGACATATGGCTCAGATCTGCAAAGGTATTTAGGTACTGTGCTCTCATGGAAATGAATTTAGGTTTAGCTCAATTTTGAAAATGGAAAGAACAGTTTTGAAAAATACTGCCTTCTGCTTTTTGGAGTGGAAACATTAATTTAGATAAAGGAAGTGTCATCAACTGTCTTTTTATCTAATATATTTCTGTGTAGTGCTTACCGCACTGAGGCTCTCATCTCCATGAACCCTCCACATACCCCACTAAGTGAGGACGCATTGGAGGCTTTGGATCTCAGAGCTGGCCAAATACTCAAAATACAGATGTATCTGGCTCAGATACAGATGGTTTTCTTGCTTGCTGTCCACAGGATTTCATCCTTTTATTCTGTGTATTGCCTCAGCAGCAGAATTCAACCCATAATGATTTTACAACTTGTGCACAGCTTTTTTTATGGAGTCATTTGCTATCAACTGTGGGGTTTAAAGAACATGGAAAAACCTCACATTTTGTTTTGCTTAGCACATGAGAAAATCTCGTACTCTGTTTCCAGTGGCTGCTCTCTCTTTTTTGTTCTCTTAATTTTTACTTTTATTTCTTACTGAAGGATTTTTAACACATAAGGTTGCATAGCACAAGGAATGAAAACGTTTGGAATAATGAGCCTCTGAGTTCTTGCATCAGGAAATCCCAGCAGAAATAGATGAATATTCCAATATTCTTCTCTGCCTCTTCTCTTTTTCCCACAGGGTGCCCTGACAATTTCACCAATTCCCAATGTTTAAATCCCATTACTGCTTTTCAAGGCTGCATGAGACTCATCTTTATTGATAACCAGCCCAAGGACCTCATTTTAGTTCAGCAAGGCTCCCTGGGGAATTTTAGTGATTTACACATTGATCTGTGTGGCATCAAAGACAGGTAATTATTGTTTCCTCTTTCTTATGTTTGTTCTTCTTTTTTGTCCTAGTGGTTTATAAATACAGGTTGCATTAAGTGAAAATTCTAATCTGCCAACATTACGGATATTAGGCATAATAGAGCTACTAATAGAAAATATTACAGCAAAGATAGGAGGACTGGAGGGGAAATGGTTTCAATTACATGAGGCTCTCTTCTCATTGACTTGTAGGAAATAGAGTATGCAAATTCAATCAAACTACAGATTGGTGAAAGGATTAAATTTTATGCATAAACAACATTTGATTGCTTTGAAGTTTTAGAGGGAAATGAAAGAGAAGGAAAAATTATTTGATTCATCAGAACATGTCATCCCCTTAATATACTAGCTGGTTTTGCTTAAGTAGATCATTTGCAATTTTTCGTGTTAGCCATTACAGCACAGCACGTTTGTAATGAAGATATGGTACACCTCATGCCCCTTCAGTAGGACAGTATAATGATGAAATGTCGTACCTGCTAAAGACACTTCTCAGTCAAAATAAACCTGACAGGAAACCCAAATTCCTCATGAAGAGTAGGGAGGAAATAAACAACAAATTTGTTTTTTAGAAGTATTTAATAATTTCTCCTTTGCTTCTTATGGATTTTTAGTGTCTATATATTTCTGAATTATTACTTTGAAGTTTGTACATGGAATAATAGGCTCAGAATTTGTCGTTGTTGGGTTTTTTGTTTGTTTTTACATCTAGCTAAGTTCTGAAAAATGGAAATGGAACTGTTGGAAATTTCATGTGTTTCAGATAGTTCAGGGAGCAGTAAGGATATTTTGGAAATGCGTTAGGAGCTTAAGCAATATTTAAGATAACTTTTTCAGACCTGTTGCTTAGAGAGGTGGAGCGGAAGGCCAATCTCCATTATTACTTACTGTAGGAGGGATCAGCCTGCTGGAGCTGCAATCTTTGGGAAAGTGGGCAAAACCTCTGTTACGTGAGACCTTTATGCTCATCTTTGTTTATGTTTGTGAACTTGTACAGAGAAAATACTGACTCTGCTGATCAGATGCTGTTACCATGTTTAACAGTGGCTGAATTCAGGGGGACATGAATGTCACACTTGGTGTGCCTGGAATGGTAGACAGAATTGATAAGCTGATTTAACAAAAGGAAGTGAAATGTAAGTTTTGCTGAGAATTAGAAGAAAGTATTTTGCTGTTTTATTGGTAAAACAGATTCTTTAAGACTGGATGGACCATTCAAAGGCAACTTGCATATTTGTATATTGGAACACGAGAACTCTTCTGTTATGATGCAGAGGTGCTGTGGGACATCTCCAGTGCCTTCATTGTCACCAAGTCCAGGCTACAGTGTAAATCAGTGTTACTGCTGCAAGTGTCTTCCTCATCTTCAGTATCCCAGGGGTGACGAGCAACAGTCTGTCATCATAACACACAGTTATTTAGGGCAAGGATCCAAACATCATAGGAATGGTGGCACTGATATAATCATTGCCTTGAATGTACCACGCACACAACAGGAAAGTATTTGGGCAGTGTGCTCCTCCTAACCAGTTTTTGAAGATTTTGGGTTCTCCAAGCTGATATTGCAGCATAATTGGTTACAACAAACTGTAGATGGAAGGTTGGGAAGAACAGGAGATTTGAATTCAAAGTTAAAGCCTGTACTGGTGTCTCGTCTACACAGTGTACCCTTGAGTATGTTTTCAAATCTTGTTCAAATTGATTCATTGCACAGAAAGTCTGACACTTCCAGTCACTGTAATTCAACTTAGTCACTGCAGTTGAACTAGTGCTCTATATTGCAGCAGCTCTGGAATATAGGAAAGTTGGGGTCTAGCTCTGGGTGTGCAACCTCCAGCTGCTCATTCTCTCTGTATAAAGAATGTTAAAATTCTGTAAAAGCATCTTCTCAGAGAAATGTGATCTTCCCTTTCTTAATTATAAGATTTATTGCTGTGTGCACTGTAAAGCATGTGTTTTTTGTAATTTTGACGCATGTGGGAATTGTGTAGCTTAATTAACATGTAAATGGGACATTTGTCTTAGTTATCTAAGCAAAAAACCTCTTTTGAGGAATATGCCTCTATTTAGAATGCAGTTTATTTGTTCCAGACCTGGGCTCTTAAAGGAGTGGTTAGGCAGCTATCTGCAACTTGTGATGGCTCTTTAAAAAACAGTTAATGACACTGTTTTGAAAGATGATAAACTGGGACTACTCTTGATGGCAGCAGTATGTTTTTGAGAGGGAATCTAATTGTGTAAGCATATTACACACACACACCCTTCCCCCTCCTCCCCCCACTCCAAAATTCCCTGTATAAAGTGATGAGACTCCACTAATTTAAATGAAGCCATCTGAGGGACTAAGCCTTAGTATCTCATCATCTTTTCTCTCTAGTATTTGAACTATTTGTGTGCTCAAGTGAACTTGGCATGAATTCCTTCTGTCTCCCTGTATTTGTTATTTCCATCCTTCAGTCACTGTTTCTCAAGAAATAAATGCCCTGTCGCTAGCTGAGCTGTCAGAGTGTACACAAAAAAAAGGGGATGTCCATAGAGATATACAGAGTTTTGCCTCCTTTCCATTTGGCGTCTGGGGAGGCAGTGCCAAGTGAAAATGCTTTTGCAGGCACAAGTGAACCTGACCCTGTTGCTGACCCTGCTTTGAGCAGAGGGCTTTTGCCAGAGATCTCCAGAGGCTCCTTGCAGCCTCAGTGATCCTGTGAATGAGGCCAGGCAGTAGCTGCTCAGGTTCTGTCTGAGTGGTCAGTTCAGGATGTATCCGTGAGTACTGGGATTAGCAGATAACACACAGAAAACTCATGTCTTCTGTGCTTTCAGCAGG